TCGGGGTAGGGCTTCTATTGCGCACATGCTCAGAAATCCTGCTAGGGCTTATTTGATGGGTAGGTCTTATTTTCGGGGAAACACGGTAGAGCCAAGCCGGAGCCCGGACAGTCTGATGGTGGAGGCCGTGCTCTTAACGCTCACTCCGTGTAAGAGGCCCCGGCTCTGCCCTGCGACAGGCCTGGCAGGTCCAGGAGCGCAGGAGCCCCGAGTGAAGGGAACCCTCGATAACTTTACTAATTGGGATTTGCCTTTTTCTGTCTTTTGCTTCAAGGAATAAGAGAAGAATTACTTCCTGTCTCCTCCAAAGAAAACACTAAACCAGGGGTCCTCAAACTTTTTAAACAGGGGGCCAGTTCACTGTCCCTCAGACCGTTGGAGAGTGCGCACTGTGGGCCCGGGACGAGTCGGCTGCTAAGCAGGACAGCCAGCGGCGGCAAAAACACCCAGAGGGCCAGATAAATGTGCTAGGTGGCCCGCATGTGGCCCGTGGGCCGTAGTTTGAGGATGCCTGTACTAAGGCCATGCATCCCAGTCTCCTGCACCATCTCCTGGGGGGTGCGCCCGGCTTTCCCTGCCAAGTGAGGGCTCCGCAGTCCTTCCTTGTTCTGGAAGGAGTGGAGCCAAGACTGAGAGATGTCAGTGCGGGCTTCCATGAAAGGCATTTGCTGCCCACGGCTCGCCCCTCTGAGCACGCGCTTAGCTCGGGCTTTCTGGTCACTTTTTACTTCTGCTGCTAGGGGGACTGGTTTCTGGCCTAGTGGAGAAAGCACAGGCTTTGGTGACAGATGAGAACCGGCTGAAGCTTCTGTCCCATTGCTCACAAGCGCTGTGACCTCAGAAAGCTTTGGAGAGCCTCGGTTTTCTCATCTGTTGACCAGGAGTAACAGGACCCACCCCTTGGGGTCACTGTGGGTAGTAAACAAGATAATGCCAGTAAATCCCTCGGCACGGCGCCTGGCACAGAGAAGGTGCTCCGCAAACACATCCAGTTGTCCAGGACGGAGAGGGGCTGGCTCTGTCCCCTCCCGGAGCCAGCCAGCTGCTCTATCTAATACCCTGCCCGGCTGTCAGAGTCAGACCCCTGGAAGGCCTGGACCCCGCCAGCAAAGCCGCCTGCTCGCACAAGAAAAATATTTGCGTTGGAAAATGGACTCAGCCCCTGAAGGGAACAGACCCTGACTCAGAGTGCCGGCGGGAGACCCGGGCAGATGTTTGCAGTTAGTGGGGTCGCCGTTGCCCGCCGAGCACGCTGCCCTCGGCCCAGCCTTCTGGCCTGGGCTCCCAGGACCTGCCTGCGCCCCTTTGTTCTTACTCGGGTCAGTCTGCGTTTGTTCCCGTGCAGGGAAGAGCCTCGAGTCTGTGTTCCCAACCGCTCGGGCACGTGCTGAGTGACCTGGGCGTGGTCCCACGCCCGTCACTCTCGCGGGCAGAGGTGGTGTGGCGTAGCGAAAAGTGCGTGCAGTTTGCAGTCAGATGGCCGAGGGTCAGAATCGGGGCTCTGGCTGTGACCAATTAGTTAACCTCTCTGAACCTCAGTCTCCTCATCTGTAAAATGGGACGAGGACACTGCCTATGCCGTGGGGCAGTGGGGGAAACTCCGCTGACCTAATCTGTGTTCCTGCTTAGCCGGTCCTCAACAGATCATTCCAGTGCAGCCTCAGGGGGAGGTCTAGGTCACCTCTGGCCTCTGCTGCTAGGTGGGGAGGGTGACTCTCCATGGAGAGAGAAAAGAAATCACAGGTGTTCTTGGGAGACATCAGAAAATGATTCTCTTTAGGCAAAAGAACGTCTGCCATGGCCCAGGGTCCTCTGCTACCGGGATACGGTGATGCTGGCAATGTTGTTTTATTGTCATCCGTTAAGATTTTTCGGAGGCCAAGAAGGCAAAGACCTGGTTTCCGATCCCAGCGCTGCCACTAGTCTGCCGTGTGACCTTGGACACACACCCTCCCGCCCTGGCGCTTGGGTTCATCACCTATAAATGCGGAGGCGATCTACACGTTGGCTCAGGTTGCTCCCGGCCCTGAAGCGTGATGTGGTGGAAAGAGAAGCAGCTGGGCTGTCAGGAGAGCAAGAGTCTGGCAGGTTCTACAACGAATCTGCTACATGACTGTAGATCAGTCACTTCCCCTTCCTGGGCCCCAAATTCCTCATTCGTAAAATGAGGACATTGCCTACATTAGAAATGGCAAATATGTGACACGTGTGTTACATGCCCCATGTTTGTGCCTAACGGCAGATGTCACTGGTGGATCTCAACACTCTTCCCACCGACCCTAGACACGGCCTCCAGGAAGGCACTAGCACTCCATCAGAGTGTGCCCGCAAGGTGACACCTAAACTTGCCTTCCCTTACAGCTGGTCTCGGAGGTCCTTCTCAGCTTGTGCCCCTTGGGGACTCCATGACCTAGGGACCCTTAGCCACGTACCGTGCTTGACCAAGAACCTCAGGGCCTCCAGCTGCCCACTCTGGGCCGCCACGAACAAGGGGGTGATGCCGTAGGCGTTCTTGGACTCCACCTTGGCGCCGCCCTTCACCAGGATTTCTATGACCTCCAGGTCGTTGCGGGAAACAGACTCGTGCAGAGCCGTCCAGCCTCGGTTGCAGCGGTGGTTGGTGTCTGCGTTGTGCTGCACGAGAATCCTCACCGCCTCCACGTTCTTGCGCTCACAGGCTGCGTCCGGGAAGAATCGAGATGGTCAGCAGGACCCTGGCAGGAGCTGGCCAGCCAAGACCCCATTCGTGTATCTGTCCATTCACTCATTCATCCATCAGCCGTTCATTCCACAAACACCCATTGGGTCTGTATTATGTTCCAGTCCCTGCATTGAATTTAGGACATACGACTAAAGTGATACTAATACTAATATTAGCAATAGTACTTGCTGATATGTATGTAGTACTGGTTCTGTGCTGGGCTGTCAGTCCTAAGCACTTATCATGATTAACTAATTGAATCCTCCCAACCGCCCCTAAAGGATGCAGTATTGTTATCCCCTTTCGCAGATGAGGAAGGTCAGGCACAGAGAGGGTGAGTGACTTGCCCAAGATCACACAGATAGTAAGTGGCAGAACTGGGATTAAAACTTGGAGAGTCAGGCCCAGAGTTTCTGTCCCCTGGAATGTTCCAGAATGCCCTGTCATATCCCTTCCCATGCTACTGGCCTCAGTCCTCCATGTTACCAAGGCTACAAGAATCTTCCTAGATGAGGAGTGGACACTGTCATATTCCTTTCTAAACCCCACCTCCCTCTAAAGCCTGCTCATTTAATTTGAAGTAAAAATTATCTTCTTAACCCTCCTTTTTAAGCCTCATCTCTGTCTAGACTACTAACGCACCCCTGGCTCTGGGCCGGTGTTATCAGCAGGGAGCTGCAGGTGGTGTCAAGTCACCTGGACACTTGTCCACATTAACCACCCTGGAAGCTTCTCAGTGTTGGGGGTGGGGAGTGGGGACAGGTTGGGGGGACTGGGGAAGTGGGGAGGGGGCTGCCCATGTAGTGTTTCAAACAGGACCATGGGCCGAGCTCTCCACCTCTCTGAGCCTTTGTTTTCTCACCTGTGAAGTGGAGATAATGAGATCTCCTGGACAGGATGCTTTGGGAGGACCGAGGCAGCCCATGTAAGGCCCGAGCATGGTGCTTGGCATATAGAGCAGCGTACGCAGCACCAGGGCCAAGCTCTGGCCGTGACTCTCTGGGGCCACTGAGGCTCCAGGTGATGGCTATGGTGCCCAGACAGGCAAGGGTTCTAGGGTCAGTAGTGGACCCAGGTCGTGCTGCCCGTGGAATGTTCCCAGTACCAGACATCAGACACATGGGGGATCAGGGTAGCTGTAGTTTTTCAAAGCACAAAGGCCCAATCATGTTTGCAAGCCCGGAGCTGATTGCTTAAGCTTGTGGGCACGAACGAGATGCTTTAGCATATAGCGGGGCAGAGTGTGCTGTGGCCTTCCGCCCCCTGGGTTTAAATCCCGGGGCTGCCCCTTGATGGCTGTGTGATCCTGGGCAGCTCATTTCCCATCTCTGTGCATTAGGTCATCAACTGTAAAATGGGGACACTAGCAGGGACTACCCCACAGGTAGATGGATAGGAGAGCCCAGTAAAAGAACGAGGTGGATAAATGCCAGCTATCATGGCCATTTGGATTTCGACTCTGAGTACTGCTTGGGCACCAATGAGTGTCCTTGGATGACGATGTACTGAGTAAGCCAGGGGCTTTCATTTTTCTTAAACAAACATCCCAAAGGTGCACACTCTCTCGCATGCCTCCTTGCCTTTGCCTGCGCTGTTCGGGCCCAGCTCAGGTGAACCTCCCCTGGCTGTCCCTGGCCCTTGCCTCCCCCACCCCCCCCCACACACACGGCCTCCGGCCAAGCTCCGCATCTGTTGGGTGTGTGTCGGTGCCCCTTGGGAGGGGAAAGCATGCCGGCACGGATCATATTTTTCCAGCTTTGAGCCCTCAGTGTCCCTCAGTGTGCCTGGCCCTGGGAGGCACTGGGAAGTGGCTGAATGCATGCATGAATGAACGAGTCATCTACATACATTGTGCATACGAGCAGGGCCGACTCCCTTCAAAGTAGACCACGTGGCGGGTTATGCACTCACGGGAGCAATGCCCCCCAAGTGCCCACCTAGCTTCCGGACTCTTCCTCAGAGAAGCCCACCCTGGTAGGGGAGTGGAGGCCCACCTTTGTAGAGTGGTGTCTCCCGGGACTTGTTGGAGATGTCAGGCTCCGCCCCCGCCTGGAGCAGTGAGAGGAGGCAGTCCAGGTGTCCCCTGCAGGTGGCCAAGTACACGGCTGTTTCCTCCTGCAGGGTGCGCTGGTCGATGGTCGCAGGGTATGCTGGGGAGGACCCACCGGGAAGTTCACGCAGGTGGAAGACACCTGGCCCCTCGACACAGAGAGGCTCCCCACTTCCTCCCAGTTCCAAGGACAGACACGCATAGCATCCTTTGAAATTTGCCAGCCACAGACTGCATTCATCTCACCCTTTTGTGGGGCTATTAGCTTCCTGGTCATACAAATCCAGCTTAGATGCCACCTCCTCTGGGAAGCCTTCCCTGACTGAGCCCCTCCCTCTCTGAATGTTCCTGTCCTTCCCTTGCACCCCCACCAGCCCTTGCTGGGAACTGGATGTCTCACGTGCTGTTTCTTGGAGTGTGGTGGGCCACCTGGGGTCTGTGCTGCTTGAGGGCAGAGGTGACACCTTCCTGCAGGTGGGCGTTACCCACCCGAATCTGGCTCGGGAGAAAGGTGGGGTTCAGAGAGCAAGTATGACTGGCCCAGGGTCCCACAGCGGGTGGGGGACAGCCTTGGCAGGGCACAGGCACAGCTGCAGTCTCTTTCACACCAAATCAGCCTCTGGAACATTCTGGAACAAGCTGGCGGTGACACTCCCAAAAGTCAACCCTCCCTCATTCCTTTTCTAGGAATTAGGCTCTCCTGTCCTGGGTGGCCTGGAGAGGTGACAGCAGGGGGTGTCTGTTGGGGGGTATGGGGGGGTGGAGACAAGTCACTTTTCCTCTCCCAACTTAGCAACTGTGACTGCCAAACGGGGGTGACGACCCTGCCTGCCCTCCTCACCAAGGCGGCTGTGGGGCACAGAACAGGAAGCCCCGGAGGAAGGAGCCCTCCCCTAGCCCCCTCCCTCTCCTGCCGCCCGGCGACCGCCCTCACCTCGCTGCAGGACCTTCAGGCAGCCCAGCTGGCCGTAGTAGGCGGCCTCGTGCAGCGGCAGCCAGCCCTCCTTGTTGGGCTCCGCGAGGTCCTTCCCGCCCTTGATCATGGCCCTCAAGGCCTCTTCGTCGCCCTCCTTGATGGCCTTGAGCATGGGGTCCACGGCCCTGGGGGAGCAGGGGGCAGGCAGTCCTCAGGAGTGGGCAAAGGCAGGGCCTGCGGGGGGCCGGGGGCCAGTGCCGGCTGTGGGGCCCCTCAGTCCCACGTCCCACCTGGTGCTGGGACAGGTGCTCAGCCCCCTGCAGCCTGGGGGCCACAGGAGCTATTTTCCAAGGGTCCCTCCGTCCCTGCGGCTTTCTGCAGCTGATGTTATATCCAGACCATTTCCACCCCGAGTTCCAGGCAAACGGTGCCAGCTCCAGAGGGACGGACAACCACTCGCAGGAGGTTTATTGCAACAACACGATGGCTTCCCTGAGCGTAGTGCGCCCACCTTTGGGCCCCTCTGGGTACTCTGAGCAGCTCGGGGTTGGGGGCAGGAGTGGCACAGAGCCCTCAGAGGGGCCTCCTAACCGTGAGGCTGTCTCTGGGCTCTTCCCACGCCCCTCCTCGCCCCGTCCCTTGTCCTCACTCCCAGTGCCCCTGGCTGCCGCAAAACTTGCATACTCGAAGGATTAATAAATCTGATCCTTTATAATTTAAAACTTCTGAATGTCAAAACGGCTCATTAAAGTCACTTTGTTCATTCATTCATTCATTCACTGAGCTCCCTTCCCCGTCCTTGGAGAGTGAGTGTGGACCGCAACTGCTGGGACTCCCAGATCTACTTCTGGGGAGGGTTCTGCATGAATAGTCCCATTTCCCAGGTGGAGAAGGTGAGGCTGGAGGCAGGCGTGCTCCCAGGACCCCACTGTGTCAGGGGCTAGGATGGCTCTGAAGTCTCCAGCACCAGCCCTGCCCGTCCCAGCTGCTTCCCCCAGCGCGAGCGGCACTTCCTCCTGACTCTCAGCCTCTCTGGTTATTAATAGCATCAGGGTGCAGATGCCGGTTAAGCTACAGACCCAGCAAGGACGACGGGAAACTGACGAGATGAGCCCTGACGTCCCCATCAACACCATCTCCGCCAGCTTGACGAGTTCCACTGAGGAGCGGCCAGAGCAGCCCCTGTCGGCATCAGGAAAAGCCCCAGTGGGGTACGTGTCCCCTTCCCCCTGGAAGGTCTCTGGTGGGACCCCGGCTGAAGAGGAAGGGAGGAGGGCCGGCTGTCGGTGCGGCCTTGGCAACGGGGGCACGGTGCAGTGTCGTGAGAACACTGTCAGGATGCACCGCCCAGCTTGGGTGTCTCCAGCTGTCGGGCAAGGACCCCGGAGCTCGCAGCCCCGCACGCCGGTGGCTGCTCCGTGAGCTCGAGGTCCCTGCCCGGCAGGTGGGGGAGGTTGCTGGGGTGTCAGCTCATCGGAGTCTAACAAGCTGGGCGGGACCCTAGAGGTCACTTTGTCCTCTCCAGCCACATCCTACAAAGCAGGGAGACTCAGAGGGGAGAGCGGCTCTCGGGCAGTCACACAGGAAGCAGCAGTTGTGCTGAGACCAGAACCGGCTCTCCCTTTTCCAGACTGTTGACACCACCTGCGGCACCAAGGAAGCGGATTGGGAAAGGCCGGGAAGGAGAGAGGAGACACTGGCCGGTCCCCTCTCCCCTCTCTGCAACATAACTGAGCGAGGACATAGGGGTTCCAGCAAGGGGGCCCCTCTTCTGCTTTTAGCTGTTTGCAGGGTCACTATTCCAGGGGCACAGAGAAGAGAGGAGGACGGTTGCTTTGCAAGGATCCCGCCGGCCCAGCCCCGGGTGCCAGGCAAACAGAACCCCCCGCAGCTCGGGCTACTTCTGGGTGTTAGCACCTGGCACTTAGCAAATAAAGGAAACAAAGCAAAACAAACGCTGTGGTGTGGGGCTTTTGGGTGTGCTCCGACATACCCACGGCGAGGTGTGGGGGAAAGTGGGAGTGGGGCAGAGGGTGCAGCTGACTCATGAGCTCCAGCACCGAGCTCCCTGGGTCTCTGGCGTCTAAGCACAGCCATCTCCTTCCTGCTGGGACCCCCGGGTTCAGAGCCCTGCGGGGGGCCCCTGCCACACACAGGCCTCATCCTGGGGACATCTGAGGCGTTCATCATGAGCACCGCCTGGGTGGCAGTTCCCCGAGGACTAAAGTCAGTGGCTACCGAGCCTGGGCCCCAGGGGGGCACACCTAGGAGGGCTTTGCCTGGGAGTTGCCTCCACAGTGCCCCCCGACTTCCTGGGTGCTAGGAGCCCGCTTCCCATCCCCCACCCTCCCGCCACCCCAGGTTGGGAGTGAGTCCCGGGGCGAGCGGGTCACTTACGCTGGGTGGGAGGCCTTGAACAAGCTGCTGCTGTACTTCTGCATGACCCCCTGGAACAAGCCCCTGGGGGCCGGGGCCGGCGGGCTCGCGGGAGGCGCGGCGGACCTGGAGGGCGCAGGGCAGGAGTGAAAGAGGGAAAAGTACTCCGCGTAGGAGAAGCGGGTCATGGCTGGAGGCAGGAACAGGGATGGAGGCAGAGCCAGGGGAGAGACTGACTGACAGACAGACACAGGGCTCTGAACCAAAGCAGATGGCCGGGTCCTCTCTGTGTGCTGGACACAGCTGCTGTGTCTCCGGATTATTTTTGGCCCTTGGAGGAAGCCCTGGGAGACTTAAATGACCATATAAGACAACAATGAGGTTAACCTCACCCCCACGCCCAGGGTCCCTCTCCCCAGCCAACCACGAGGGAGGCAGATATGAAGCAAGGTGACATTCTTCACCCAGGAGGATGTGAGACGTGGTCAGCGGCAGGTCCCAGGATGAAAGGGGCCCAGTCTCGTGGCTGGCCAGGCGGGTCCCAACAGAGCTGGACTAGCAAGTCGGCTCCTCATCAGAGGATCGTGCCCCAGGGTCGGGAACAGGCAGTTCGGAGGTTACAGCAAAGGATGCACGAGGAAGGCTGTCCGGGGCCTGGGCTTGGAGCCAGGCAGACAGGGGTTCAAATCCAGGCTCTGGCACTCCTGAGCCCATGACCTGGGACAGGTTGACCTTCTCTGTGCCTTAGAAGGTGGCATGAGAATAGCCCCGTCTCAGGGCTGAGGGTCCGAGAGGCCTGAGTAAGTAGATGGCGTGAAGTGCTTAGCCGAGCGCCAGGCACAGAGGGGTGTTCACACGACACACGTCAACCACTCATTTTACCATCATTTCACTGCTCTCAGCCTCAGTTTCTCCACTCCACAGGACTGTTGTGAGGTGGATCTGTCAGGGGTTGTAGCGAGAACAGGACCTGTGGCCCCTGCCAGCTCCCCCCCTACAGGTCAGGCCCTGGCACCCGGGACGCCCGGCAGGCCCCGCCTCGGTGCCGCAGACTTCTGGGAGCCACTGTGGGACTGGGGGGGACATTGCTACTGGCACCCCAAGGGGCGTGGGGGGCTGCTGTTGTGATTCTGAGAAAGACCCACACTCTTTCGGGCCAGGCCAGAACCTAGGGATTCTGTCCCCCCCAGCAGACCAGGGGGCATGGTGGAGAGGAGGGAGGGGCAGAGAAAGGAGGGAGGACCCGCTGGCCCACTCGGGGCTGGCAGCAGGTCTGGCCACCTTCTCCACGCTTGTCACTGTCACCCCTGCTAGCCCCCTTCTCGACCCTGCCTTCTACCGACACTCACTGGGTTGAGCAAGACACCCCCTGCCTGTGTTCATCCACTTAGCCTCATTCACGGACTGAGGATGTGGGTGCCAAAGTCACTGCTTTTCACAGATGAGGAAACAGGCTCTGAGCAGGTAGGGAGCTGCCCAGGGTCCCACACAAAGATTCGGATGCGTCTGTCTGCGGGGCTCCTAACGCCTCCCTCCGAGAGGCAGTCAGTTTCCTCATTTGGAAAACGGGGAGGCAGGACCAGACCAGGGGTGTCCTCACGGCTTTCGTAGCTGTGGAGAGACTATCAAACAGATCGAAGAGCCGCGGTCTCAGGAAGGGGCAAAGCCTGGCGCAGCCACGGCCCCTGTCCTTGGCCCTGAGAGCTCCAGGCTCCGTGTCTTGTGGTCACTCCTGGCCCTGAGCAGGAGGGAGGCCTGGTGGGGGTGGGGGCTGCTCCAGCCTGTGGTCTCCGTGAGGTCCCGGGCTCCCTCCCGGGCTCCCGTCTCTACAGGATCCTTGAGTCACGGCCACCTTCATCCTTGGCCTGTTGTGGCCTCTGATTACTTAGAATGTTTTTAGAAAGATAATAAGCATTAGTTTAAAACCCACTGCTCCATCCTAACACTAGGACCCATCTCTGCATAGTAACAACAGCAGCGACCGTGTTGGGACTCGAGGCTGACAGAGCTGGGGGCAGGTGGGGGCGATGACAGCCCCTGGGGATTGTGCAGGGCACACGCCCACAGAGCCATGCCAAGCACGCCCTCAATCCCATCCTCCTGCCGCCTGGGAGGAGGCAGGGTGTCCTGTCCCCACTGTGCAGATGAGGACACACAGCCTGAGTGCCGTGCAGCAGACATTTCCTGGCTCCGCCCGGTCCCAAGGCCTGTGCTGGGGGCTGGGGTGCAGATCAACGAGGCACGTCTTTTTGTGGGTCCTCAGGATGTTCAGAGGCAGCAGGGTGGGCGCCAAGGACACACACGACCACAGAGCCACCGGGGAGGGGCTGAAATGGAGGCAGAAGGACTCATTCTGGGAGACTGGAATCGGTGTGCAGTCCATGGCTTTGGGGGCCAGGCGGGGCGATGGCTGAGCGTACTGAGCCGTGGGTCTGAGAGCTGCGTGGGGACCAGGCCTCCTGACCGGCTTTTGTGCTCTTTCCGCTGCGGCTGGAGGCCACACGTCCCCTGCCTGGGGCGGGGGGATTCCCAGCAGCGCAAGCCACCCTGAGTCCCAGAGGTTCGAGGAACCTGGTCCCGGGCAGGATGTGGGCGCAGGTCATGCCCTAGCACAGACCCAGGTAGGGGCCCCGTCCTTTGCGTGTCAGCGGGCAGGTTCTGGGGTGAAGAGTGTGTCACCAGCCCGATCCTGGAGTCCAGCTGGGCTTGGCTTCAGGCAGGGTCAGTGAGAGTGGAGAAAGGGCAGGGGTGACTGTGCCCCCCAATTCCTCAGTGAGCCCATGGACGCTGCCCTGTCTGAGCTGTGGAAGCCCAGGCCGGCCCCGGGAAGGGAGGGAAGGGGCTGGGCCCGGCCGAATGCAACAGGCAGGCACCCTAACTGGGGAGGGACAGATCTGAGAGTCTGCCCCACGCCTGCCACCGTGCCAGGGTCCTGTGTCTGTTTTTCCACCTGATCCTCACAGCATCCTCTGTCAAGCACAGGTATCGAGGGTGTAATGCCTGGCACATAGTAGGTGCTCAATCAATTTAAGTGAATGAGACAAAACAAACAAAAGCCTTTGAAGGAGTCAAACCCCATATGGCAATCTTGGTGCTGTGTGTTTGTGGGCTAAGATCTCAAACCCCTGGAAAGCCAGCCCCTCGCCCTGGGTAGAGAGGAAGCCCTCATAGCATAGGAGCAGCCCACCCTCATCCCCGCAGGCTCTCTGGAACCAGCTCCTCACCCAGCGGCCAAGCCGTCGTTTCGGGGCTGGCCAGGGAAGAATCGCAGGTGGAGAAGAACGGGAATGCCGAGCTGCAGCAAATCTGCTTTTATAGCCATAGCTGAGATTTCATTGAGCACTTATTAAGTGCCAAGCCTTGTGACAGGCACATTGTACAAAGCATCTCATTTGATTCTCCAGTCCACCTTGTGAAGATATAATTGGTTTCCTTTGCAGATAAGGAAAGCGAGGCTCAAAGAGGTTTGGTCCCTCTAGTCCGCTTGAGGAACAACTATTCATCCTGCAAAGCCCACCTCCTTGACTACATGAATTGACCCTTTCTGTGTCCCTCTGAAACTGAGCAAGCCCCACTGCTGCACTCTCCCTGCGGGGTCATCGTGTACTTCTGCGCATTCACCTCATTAGACTTCGGGCTTAGGGAGTGCAGGGCCCAGGCCCGATTCATGTCCAGGTGCTGGGAAGCCACCTGGCACATCCTAAGTGCACAGCAGTGTGGGTGGCTGGATTTGAGTTGTTTGCCGCTGTGCACACATCAGCCCAGGAAAGTTCTTGCTTCATGTTTTCCTCCTCTGTCTTCTTAGAAATGTAACCTTAAATAAAATGCAGAAGTTTGAAGACTGTGAAGACCCAGCTTCCTGCACTCGCGCTGGATGGCCCATCCGTGGGAACCCTGGGCTCCCCGTGTCATGGGTGCATGGACCCCACTTCTCCATGGGACAGGAACTAGGTCTGCCTCTTGGGGAACTCTCAGGAGGCCAAAGCCTGGCCAATGATCCTCGTGCATGTTTCACATTGTGGTGGGAGAGAAACGAATGGGGAAATGGCTTTAAAAAAAATTACAGTTTGTTGGATGCTGATCTTGCTTTCATTTCTAGGATCCCAAAGACTCCTTTGACTGATATTAGTCACAGATGATAATGATACATTACATTGCTCAAAGTGCATTTATCGACCTAAGAACACTTATTAGGCACCTACATCAATCCAGGCTCTTAGCTGGGCACTCAGGATTAAAAAAAAAATGAACATTAGCTCCCTGTCCCTAAAGAGGTCACAATGAGGTTGGGGACCCTCTCTGGAGGCCTCCCCAGGGTGACCCAGAAGTTTGTCTATGAAACGGGGGCAGTGTGAGGTTGGTGCGGGGAAGTCAGTCTGGGCGGGGAGTCACCAAGGCTGCAGGATGTGGGGGAGCTCCGACGCTCACCTCATCTTGTTTGCGTTCGCAAGAATACCACAAGGTGAGCACAGCAAGCTTTCCTTGTTGCCATTTCGTGAGTGAGGCCACTGAGGCTCAGAATGGGCAAGTAACTTGCCTAAAGTTGCACAGCCAGTAAGCCACAGAGGGAGAATTCGAATCTCCAAACCCACTGCTCTTTTCACTCTGCTGCCTCCTTTCACTCGCTCACAGCTATCAGGTGCTTTGGCGCAGGGCGGGCACTGGGCTTCCCAGGCGAGAAGGACCGAGGCCCCTGCCTTCACGGCGCTTACAAGTTAATGGCAGAAACAGGCAGATACGTAAGAATTGTCAGGCCTAGTTAGGGCCAGGAAGGAAACAGGCTAGAGAGGAGGAGGGGCAGACAACTGAACCTGGGAGGGTGGTCGGGTCAGGGCTTGCTCAGGAGGTGACATGTAATCTGAGACTCGAAGAATGAGAAGGATCTCGACATGCGGAGCCCCTGGGGATGTGTGTGGCATCCTGTTCTATTTGGATGGAAACTGTGATATTCGGGGATTAAAGTGAACCAGAAATCTTGGGTCCTGCCCTCACTGTAGCACCGTGCCTGGGTGTGTGAGCACAAGTGCGTGCGTGCGTGTCGTGTGTGGGTGGGAGGCCGATGCAATTAGGCCCAAACCCCACTTCCAGGCGGGGGAGGGGAGGAAACAGAAAGAGGCCCTCACAGCGCCAGCAGCGCCTGGCGAAGTGTCTGTCTGCACTTGGGGCCGGGGCAGACTGTGGTTCAGTTCCTGGCCATGCTGTGCACAGGTTATGTCATCTGCAAAATGGGCCCTGAAATGCCCACTCTGGGTGGCTGTTGCAGGCATTAAGTGAATGAATGTGTGCCAGGCACGTGGGCCGTGCCTTTAGGGGAGGAGGAGGAGGAGGATCGTGTTAAACATCACATCAAAGGGCTTCTTCGTCTCCAGTAGGGTCCAAGCCCAACCTCTGTCCAGAGTGGAAGGTGCACAACTGAATCCAGCAGGTTTAAGGTCACACCAAGGTGAGAAGATGCAAGCTGACCCTCTCTGCTACACTCTTTGCACCTGGCTCTCTGAGGGAGGCTGCCTGGCCTGGGACAGCAGTGTCCTCGGAGGCCGGGTACATGCACACGGCCCGCACACCCTAGATAGAGGAGGTCAGTGTCAGGAGCTCAAGGGCCACTCCACTCTATATTTCTAAGTGCTGCTGGGACCCCTGGGAGGGGCTTCACCGTGGGGAGAAGGCTGCAGACGCCAGGGACAGGCAGGATTTGTGTGGCAGGCCCTGTCTTCAGATCCTGTCTTTGGAGAGAGGATGCCCTAGTTCTATCTGATCCCCTCGTGAGAAAGAGGAAGCTACGGTCTGACTTCAGCTGAACCGGCCCGAACAGGAACCAGGGCCCCCTTGAGCGCTGGCCACGATGAACCCAGGCCTTGACTCTGGGTTTCCGTTTTAAAGGTTGGGTCCCGGAGTAGGGGATCTGCAGAGGCAGCTCAGTCGCCTGCAGTCGTCGTGCTCTTTCCAGCTGCCCAAGGAAGCTGCCTGCCTTTCCCTTTAGAAGGGGCTCCGTGGCTCTGGGCATCCCAGGCCTTTGCCCCACCAACCTGACAGAGGTGGCCCAGCCTTGGCAAGGGCTACAGTCACTTGGAGGAGAACCCTGGCGGGGGGGGACAGGCTGAGATGCACCAGCGCCCACCTTCGCCTTCATCTCCTGTCGACTGTGACTTTGCACATCGGAAAAAGTCTGTTTTTTTGTTGTTGTTGGAGAAGGAAGCTGAGGCTCTGAGAGGTTAAGTGACTTGCCTGAGGTCAGGGACCCACCCCCAAACATACACTTGACTTTGGCTCAGGAGTGAGCAGAAGCATTTTTACAAAGATCAAATGCTTAATGTCCTCTTTGGCTCCCTCCTCCTACAAAGAAGGTGTCCTCCAGATCTGCACCATCCAGTACGGTGGCCTCTGGCCACACGTGGCCAGTGAGCACTGGAAACGTGGCTGGCCCGAGTGGAGACGTGCTGAGTGTGAAATACACACTGGATTTCAGAGACTCGATGGGCAGAAAAGAGGGCAAAAATCTCAATCCTAATTTTTATATTGATGGCATGGAAATGATATTTTGGACATAAAATATCTACAGAAACTAATTTCACCTGTTTCTCTTTTTAAATGTGGCTGTAAGGCCATTTAAAGTTGCATCTGTGAATTGCGACTGTGGCTAGCGCCATCGTTTATGGGGTGCCGCTGCTTCAGAAGGTCCAGCGACAGAGATGGTAAAAGGTGGCAGAACACGGAGGCAGGATGGCTTTGCGGGGCAGACGTCTTTTGCTCCCCGGACTTGCTTTCCCAGGGAGACTGCGTAGATAGGTTGGAAGCGCCGGCCGGGATACGGAGCACTGTCTCCCCCGCAGTCAGCGTGAAGCCAGCAGGGCAAGGCCAGGGCGTGGGCTTTGGAGCCAGCAGCTCCACTCTCTGCCGCAGCACCTGCCAGCGGTGTGCCCTGGGACCTCTGACTCAGCCCTAAGCTTCAGTTTCCTCATCTGTAAAATGGGACTGTGACACGGATCCCGCCTCAAGGGTCCTTAAGAGGATTAAACGAGGCAGAGCGTGCCTAGCACCCACCACAGTACTTGGCACTGCCCGAGCTCAGTGAGTTTAGATGACACGTGTAAATCATTAAAGTGCTAAAAGGCAGCCTAGAGACCAGGATAGGTTGGTTTTGGATTAACAGCATTTGGGATCTGCATCTCACGGATGCCCCGACGCCTCCACTGCCCTCATCGGCCTCGCCTTGCTCACCTGGTCCATGGGTAGAAATGGGCAGGTTGGCGGTTGGCATGTTCAGACGCGGTGGCCTCAGCAGAGGGTGGGCCCCGAGTCTTGTCCGCCAGGCTCTGCTCGATGGCCATCTGCATCAGCTCTTCCTCGCTCAGGCTGCTGTACAGGCTGTACTCCTCGTGCCCGATGGTGCCCTGGCTGCCCCGAGCACTGATCTCCGTGGCCATCCTCTTGCCTCCGGAAGGGACACTCTGTGGGGAGGAGGATGTGGCAAATCAGAGAACCCTGTGAGGAGACCAAAACCACCCTGGTCACAAACAGTTTAGCAAGATAGTTATGTTGCCCATAGGGAAGGCTGTGCACTCCACTGGCAATCACACATCCATTTTTTATTCCTTCGTTTGGTCATATGGTCCAACCACCCATCCATCTACACGTCCATCCATCCACTCATCTACTCATTGACCCATCCACCCATCTAACCACTCATCCACCCATCCATCCATCCATCTATTCATTCTCCCATACAGCCATCTGCCTAGCCATCCACTTATATACCAATCCATCCTCCCATTCATCCACCCACTCCATCCATGTATCCAACTATCCAACCACCTAGCCACCCACCCATCTATCCATCTACCCACTCAACCATTTATCCATCTATGCTCTCATCATTCACTGCTCATCAATCTATACAACCTTCCAATCATCCATCCATCCACCCATCCTCCTATTTGCTCACTAATCCATCCATCCATCCATGAATCTATCCATCCATGTACTCATCCATTCATCTGTCCAACCATCCAACCATCTGCCCTTACCTCCATTATCCATCCTCCTGTCTGTCTGCCCCCACACCCATTTATCCATCCCTCCTCTCACACATCCGTACATCTATCTATCCAATCATCTGTCCATCCACCATGTATTTGTCCATTTCAGACAGCCTATCTATATGTGTAGGCTTTTTTGTACATTAACTAAAAGCCTACTTGTTGAGCACCCACTCTGACTCAGGTACTCTTCTAGGCACTGTGGCTACAACGATGATCCCAACAGACAAACATCCCTGCCCTCATGGGGCTTACACAGAAATACATGCATTCCTTCCTTCCGAGTACCAGCAGCATCCTACCCTGGCGTCTCTCCATTTTTCTGCCCCTTGGTAGGGCTGAGAATGCTAGGAATCGGACACAGGTCCACTACTTGAGATCGCGTGATCTAGTTAAAATCGATCATTAAAATAATTTTCCATGTGAATCCCAGGCACTCCCTTCTAAAAATATGCCTCAAAGAGAAATGGGCTTTGGTCGGGAGTCAATTGCTTTTAGAAAATGAAATAGAATCAACTAAGCCTGATTTTCGTTTTGACTGGCTGACTTGCGCGGTGACTGCAGGTCAGTGGTTCTTGGCCCTGGAGGAACATCGGAATCACATGAGATCTTTTTAAAAACACCCGAAATACCAGTGCTGTACTTCGGTTTGTTCAGCAAACATCCACTGCCCTCCTGTGGAGGCAAATGTCTCCCATCCCTTCCCCATTGATGTGGGACCCAAGTTCGCATGACTCGCTCTGGCCAAGGAGTGCTGATGGACAGGAGGCAAGCAGACACGTGACACGCGTGTGCAGCGGGGTTTGCTCTTGCTCCTCTGCCATCACCTAGAGAAGAGCTCCCCACCGAAGCTGCTGCCCTTCAGCCCCAGCTCCAGAGAGAATGCCGAGGGGACCGCCGGAGCCCAGCCTGCCTGGAGGAGCCCTCCTACCCCCAGCAGGGCCTGGCAGCCCGAAGTTGGGTCTCCCGGCCTGGGCTGGCCTGCAGATCCAGAGCAGGAGAGTGGATGCTTATTTGACGTGCTTTGTTACGCAGCATTCTTGACACCCAAAAAGCCAGGACAAGCACTTCACAAAGACAACATCCGAATGGCCAGTAACCAAAAGTAAAGGCACTTAACTTCACGAGTGTTTGGGGAAATTCAAATTAGAACCCCAGTGCAATGCCAGCACACACCCACCAGAATGGCTCCAGTGAGAAAGATGGGAAACACCAAGAGTTGGGCGGGATGTGGAATAACCGGGATTCTCCCAGCATTGGCAGGAATGTAAAATGGTAAAGCCACTTTGGAAAATTGATTCTAGTTGTCAAAGCTGAATATAAAGACCTAAAATTCCCCTCCTAGCTATATGCCCAAAAGAATTACGTGCATATGTTCACCAAAAGACAAGGTCAAGAGTATTGATAGCCGTACTTTTCACAATGAACCCAGCCGGAAACTAACCACACGTCTACCGACATTTGAATGGGTGAATGCACTGTGGTATGTTCGTGCGATGGGGAGCATGCACCAATGAAAACAAACAAACTACAGCTACATCCAACAACAAGGATGCATTCCACAAGCCCTATAAAAAATAACATATATACACGATTCAATTTATATCAAGTTCGAAAACAGGCAAAACTAACTTATGGTGATAAAAGTGAGAAAGTGGCCACCTTTGGCAGGTTCCTAAGGGGGAGGGGCGGGGAGGGAGGGTGTGTGGAAGGCGTCTGGGAGCCCCTTGTGTTGTCCTTCTCCATTTGAGTGGTTACACGGTGTGGCTGCCTTTGTAAGCATCCCTGGAGCTGTTCACGTGTCATCTGTGCACTTCTATGTGAGCACATCGTACTGCAATAACATAGCTACTTAAAACATAGAGAAAGTAAGTTTTAGAAAGTACCGATTCTTGCGCCCCATCTCAGACCAGTTAAGTCAGAATCTTTAGGAGCCTGGCCCAGGTATCAGCCTCATTTGATGAGCTCCCCAGGTGACTGGGGACCTCCTCCTTGGAGAATGGCCAGCCATAAAGCACAGGCAGATGCAGGACCCTCACTGGAGAGGGGAGGAGTGAGCCCCTACACTAAGCTGAGCCCTTTATAGAGATTCTTTTGTTTAATCCCTGGACCAGCCTTATAAAGTAACAACTGTTGCTCTGCCAAGCACCAGCAAACGAGCTATTAAATCTGGGTTCTTCCAAACACAGCTAGAGGAGGCTGAGGACCTTGAAGATGGCAGGAGGGCATCTGGGAGCAATGACTTCCATCCTCTGCTCCTGTCCTTCCTGGCACCCCTCCCCTGCGCCTGCCTCTCTCCATGGATTCTGGCTGGCCCAGGCTTGACC